GTTGTTTAAATGGTGGGCCTAGACCATTTAGGCTGGATGTTGGGTGGCTGATGGAGAAAGATGGCCAATACTATAATAGAGGGTACCATGGATTTTTAGTTACACAAAACAGTTTTGAATGTTAAGCATAAGTTGATTGACTGGAAGAGAGCGCATAAGTTCGATATTAAGGCCAAAATAGATGGTGTACGTACTGAGATAGAATTGCTAGATTATAATGTTCAAACTAATGGTGTTTTGTCAAAGCAGTTGGTACTAGTGAGGGGTGTGAAGATTAAAGATTTGGAGGATCTCAGGAGATCAGAAGAAATATATTGGAGACAAAGGTCTAGATCGAAGTGGTTTAAGGAGGGAGATCTTAACACCAAAATTTTCCATGCTATTGCCAGTGTTAGTGCTAGAAGAAGACAAAATGACATATCGGGTCTGTCTATTCCTGGTGTTGCCTCGAATGATACAGTTGATATGCAAGGGGCTGTTATTGACCACTTTAAGAAGACTTTCTCCAAAGAAGTCACTATTTCACCATCCTTTAATAGAGTCCATTTCAAAGTTCTCACGGAGGAAGCAAATTTTTTTTTGGAAAGGGATATTTCTATGGAAGAATTGCGAAAGGCGGTTTTCGCTATGCCAAGGGATAAAGCTCATGGTCCGGACGGTTTATCTCTTGGTTTCTTTCATAAATTTTGGGATTTGGTGAAAGGTGAGTTGCTGGAATTTGTTAGAATTTTTTTGGTCCGAGGTGAGATTTATAAAGTGCTAAATTCGACGTTTCTATCCTTAATCCCAAAGAAATCTTTGATTTCTAATTTGTTAGATATTCACCCTATCGATCTTTTAACTAGCCTTTACAAAATTATTGGAAAAGTGTTGGCATAACGTTTGAAGAGTGTACTACCTGCCCTAATCTCCAACACCCAATTTGCCTTCACTAAGGATCGTTAGATTACAGACAACGTTCTCATTGCACAAGAGTGCATTCACTCGAGGGTCCTGAGCAAGAAGGCTGGTATTTTACTTAAACTGGACATGAAAAAAGCCAATAATTGTATGGAATGAGGGATTTTACTAGATATTATGAAGTGTATGGGGTTTGGTGATAGGTGGATGAAGTGGATGTTTGGTTGCCTTTCGTCTGACCATTTCTCAGCACTCTTCATGGGCAGCCCGATTGGCTTCTTTCAGGCCTCTGGAGGCTTGTGCCAAGGGATCCCCTCTTGCCTTTCCTCTTTACCATTTAAGTTGAATGTTTCAATTTGAGGTTGAGCAGAGTGAAAAGGCTAGAACATTTTACGAGGTTTTCTATTACAAATTCAAGTATGGTTGTCTCCCATTTACAATATGCCGACGACACTATTATTTTTTATGATGCGGATCCCCTACACATTAAGAATATTACTTTATTTTTTGGAATCTGTGAAGTTACGAAGGGCTTTAAAGTGAACTTCCATAAATCATCCCTTGTTGGTATCAATTGTCCTCAAGCATTGTATACGACTTTGGCCAGTGTGATGGGTAGTAAGGCTGGCTCTTTCCTCATTCTGTACCTTGGATTACCAATTTCTGATTCTAAACTTTCCATAGCTATATGGGATAGAGTGATTGAGAGAATTCAATGTAAATTAGATATGTGGAAACCGAAGTATTTATCTCTTGGGGAAGGGTGACACTTTTAAGATCTTGCTTGGCAAACCTTCCGGTTTATCATATGTCGATTATTAATATGCCTGCTTCGATTGCCAAAAAGATTGAGAAAATGATGAGGAACTTATTGTGGGGCTATAACAATGATCAACAGAAGTTCAATCTTTTGAGATAGGATAGGGTGTGTACACCCAAGAAGGAAAGGGGTTTGAGTATTAAAATTATTAGAATGGTTAATCAAGCTCTTTTGTGTAAGTGGTGGTGGAGGAGTCTCCACTTAAAAGATCAGTTATGGTTTCAAGTACTCTTTGCTAAATATGAGTCGGATAAATCAGAAGTATGGCTTGGGGGAGGTAGCAGGAGGGATACTACTCTGATGTGGAGAAATATTGTTTCTTACAGACCTGTGATTGCTGGTTATTTTAGATGGTCTGTAGAGAGCAATGACCAAATCTCCTTTTGGCATCATAAGTGGTTGGGAGATTATCCCCGTAAGTCTTTCTTCCAAGATCTATTCAGAGTGATTTTGGGACCCAATAGTAAGGTCTATGAGTTGGTGGAGAGAAGAGGTGATTTTATCTTGGCATATTCCTTTGCTGTATGTGAGGCTAAATAACATACTATTTGCTCAATGGTGTGCATTGATGTATTTACTGTAATCGGTCTATATTTTGCCAGATGCAGTGGATCAGATGGTGTGGGAGGTGGAGAGTGATGGCATCTTTATGGTTAAATCTTGCTACAATCTTCTCTTTCATGATCATTGGAGATGGTCTTGCCCTCAGATTGCGTAGATTTGGAAATGGCCCATTCCTCATAAAGTGCAAATTTTTATTTGGTTGGCAACTATGAATAAAATTTTACGAATTGCCAATCTGATTCAAAGGGGTAAGATCTTACCAAATGTTTGTTTGATGTGTGAAGCTGATGGGGAGTTTGGTGCACATCTTTTATTACATTGCCTTTTTACAACCCTAATTTGGTATTCGCTGTTTGGTGTGGTTAATATTAGTTTGGCTCTGCCAATGACGGTTGAGGGTGTTGTTACTCAACTTTCATTACCACATCTTTTAGAGGTAGGTAAAACGCTGTGGAAGATTGCTAAAGGAGTTATCATTTGGGAAGTTTGGAAGGAAAAAAACAGGAGGACCTTTGAAGGAGTTTCTCTATCTCTAGAATGTCTGATTCATTCTAGTAAGTTATCTTTGTAGTCGTGGCTCTCGGTGTCAAAGGTTGGGTGGGGTGTAACAAAGATTGATGTTTTTGCTAACCTCAACAACCTTTTTCATATGGGTGCCTTTAGGTGTAGACCAAAAAGTTTATGGATGGCGCCTCTTGTTGATACGATGAAACTCAACTTTGATGAAAGTTCTCTTGGTATTCTAGGTATTGCTGGGATTTGGGGTATTTTGAGAGACTGTAATGGTAATACTCTTTTTTCCTATGTTGGGGCGATAGGGTGTGCAACGGCAAATTTTCCTGAATTAAGTGCGCTCTATAATGGTTCTAAAATTTTTAGAGAGAGAAATTGTGGCCATACATGTTGGATAGAAGGAGATTCTCTTAATGTGGTGAAGTGGTGTAATCAGGAACAACTTACTCTTTAGAAGTTACGACCTCTCTGGCTAAAGATTATGGATTTGTCTTCAACCATTACGGTCTCCTTCACTCATGTTTATGTGAAGCAAACTATGGCTTGGCTCAGGGAGAGGGGGGGGGGCTTTTTATCTTCTCTTGTCATATCTGATGATGTAATTATGTTTTATTAGTATTAATAAAAGTATTAACATTGGTAAAAAGTTGTTAAGAGAGGGAGATGACACGTGAGAGAAAAATAGAAGATTTTTAAGGAGTTGCATATTTTCAAATTTTGATAGAGGGCACATGTCAAAATAATTAGTAGATATTGATAACTATCAGTGGCAAAGAAAGAAGGAGATGACACATGTCATAAAAATAGGGCAGGGCCTCTTCTTGCTTAAAATATAGAAGATATACTGAAACTACAATTCTAGAAACCATGTTTATAGTATTTGTATGATCCAAAAATTTCACACAAAATCTCTTCATCTCAATAATCAATCACAAGAAAAAAATAAAATAATTTGCACCCTTATTATATATGGTCCAAATAAGTCATCTCCAACAAAGAATCTAGATCGTCAATTTGGAGAATTTTAAGATCTAGGCCTTTATGAATTCAAACTCTATAATTTCTTTTTTAATGCTGTTAATCTAGTGATAATAAAGTTATTTATTATATTACTATATAACCATTGCATGAAATCACTCATCCTACAAATTATTGCTAGCTTTATTATTTATAAACTATAAATATATAAATTGGGAATAATTTAGAAGACAAGGTTTTTATGAGTGTTAACCTTATTTAGAGGGACTACACTTATGCGTCCACCTTTAAGATGGGTGTTTTATGTTTGGAACAAATTTATATAAGGTTGCAAGCTTCAAATGTAGAATTAAGGATACACATAAAAAATCCATTGAAAAAAGTTGTTTTAATGTTGAAAAACCCTTTAATTGATTATCTTGATATCGAGATGTATGAATATGAAAAAAAAAAGATTTTGAGTCTAAAAAATAGTGCATCTTGCAATACATTATCTAGACCTTCCAGTTTCAAGATTTTCATATGTTCAAAGATCTACTTGATGTTAACCATTTTTGGAGTTTAAAGTTTTATAATTATATAAGAAAATATATTTTCAGATAATCCTAAAAGTTTTTCACACCAAAATTACATGTCATGATAAAATTTGGAGGTATACCTTAATTGGATTGTTTAAGATTGCAACCTTATGGATACCGTACCCTTTATGTTATGGGGGACACAAATGTAGAACAACCTTAAACAATCCAATTAAGGCTCACCTCCAAATGTTATCATATAATTTTGTTGTAAAAAATTCTTAGGATTATCTTAAAATCTATCTTCATATATAATTAGAAGATTTTAAACTCCAAAAATAGTTAAAATCAAGGAGATCTATAAACATATGAAAATCTTTAAAATAGATGGCCTAGATAATGTGTTGCAAGATGCACTATTTTCGAGACTCAAAAACATTTTTTTTTATATTCATAGATATCTCGATGTCGAGATGATCAAATAGAGGGTTTTTCAAAATTAAAACAATCTTTTCAATAGATTTTTGAAGTGCATATGTAATTCTACATTTTAAGGTTGCAACTGTATATAAACTTTTCTCTAAAAAATTATTTGATATTTCAAAGCACCGGAAATTATCCGATTTATTGCCGCTAACGATATTATCCCGACAATTCCCCACCAATAACATCCCGATAACCATAGTTGTCAATGTGGTCGCCTGAGAGGGAGAAAGAGATTGTGTCGGAGCTCTAAAACCTAAAACCCTTCTTCTCTTTTTCAGTGGCTGCCAGAAAACATTTTTCTTACCTACAAAACACACCTCCGCCTCAAAGAAGCCTTAAGACCAAGTACCTCTGGATCTAGGGTTTCTCATTTCTTTCACTACCAAAAAGGATCATTCCTAAGAAAACGATCGGTCATTTTACATTCTTACACTGAATTGTTTGCCATTGTTTACTTAGAGCTAAACAGTAAGTCAGATTAGACTTAGACTTCATCAGGATTTTAATAATGGAGAACCCACTGCAAATTCTGAGCTCTGCAGCTGAACTGGTCTCTACTGCTTCCACCAAACTACGAGTGAAGATCTTCCATGAAGAGCTCTTGCCCCTTCTTCAATCTCCTGGTGATTTCCTTGCTGCATAACCCTAATAGATCCATTTAGCTCTCTGAATAACTCTAATATATCCATTTGTCTCTGAATTAAGCAAATTCATGCATCGATACAATTTACTTAAGATTGTGATTTTTGATCAAGCGTAACTGAAATGAATTGGTAAAAATAAGCTTATTACAACTATGGTCTATCGCGAATCATTTTCTGTGTGATTGTTATAAGTTATAACCAGTGGTGTAAAATCATTTTCTTTATGATTGTTATAACCAGTGGTGTAAAATGGAATCATTGTGCCCTGTGGTAAATAAATATTATTATTGTTATTATTTTTTGATATCTACTCTGCTATAGTATCCTACATCTCATATGGCAACTAGGCTCAATTTTCATGCGCATATAAAGTTGCAACAACGATGTCAATGAATGACTTTATCAAAAAAAAAATGATGTCAATGAATGAAGAGGAACCATGCATAGTGACATGTTCAGGTATTTGACTATCAGATGGTTACAATCATAGGAGGGTTTTATTTTGCACATATAACCATATGATTATGATGCACATATATCATTAATTCTGCAACTAATGGATTGCATATGCAATATCAAATTTGGTAATCGTAAGATGCAACAATCTTTGTTATGGTGTAATAGTAAGATGCAATCTCTGACTAGTTATGCAAACCTTAAAAGTTTACTACATGTTGGACCATGAATAGGCATCTTTGGAGAAATCACCTAAAGAGTCATCACACTTGGGAGCAAATGTGAACTGTTGGATGAGTTTTTCTTTTAGCATTTGAACTTAGAAAAATTGGCTACCATCTCCCTTACACGTGCATGATGTTTCACGTCCAGCAGAGAGACTATTATTTTGTTGTTTCATTGTCTGATTTATATGCTTGCCATTTTCCCATAAAAGTGAACTGTGGAAAATCTTTCACCTAGGTTGGAGTTTGGGGTGACTCTTTCTTAATTTCTCAATTGGTGACTATTTCTTTTCTCCTCGGTGTTATACTAGTCTCGTCTCTTCCTTACTTCTATCTATTTTAGTTACATTCCTTTTGATGCATCTTTGTGTACCCTATTATCATCTTGTCATTTATATGCATATATGTGAAAAGTATACCTGCTCTCCTGATATAAGATCTTGTGCATAACTCAACTAATAAGATTATAAGATACATGTGATATTTGGCCAATGGGGCATGGCTTTTAGATGAGTGTAACATTTCAAGCTGGGCGCATAAAGAAAGGATTTGGGTATGATTGAGAATTCTAATTAGGTTAGGATTTAGGAGTTTTAGAGGGTTTCTTGGTTACAAAGTTATTAGCAGGACTATAGTTATTGGAAACGTCTGTAATTTCGAATCGTTTCTGGAATCGGAATTGTGGAATCGCGTGTATCAGAAGTTTTGGAATCTAGGAATCGCTGTCTGTACTATTTGGATTTGAGAAAAATGATTCTCACTATTTCCTTTCTCAAAAAAAAAAAAATTTGATTCTTACTATTTCTGAATCACTATTCAAAAAATTAGGAATCGTGTTTCCTATTTGCAAGAATCGATGTCCCTTCATGTTGGAATCGCGTTTCATACATATATGGAATCACATATGACCCATTTGTTTTGGTGGTTGCTGAATCTTGATTCCTAAAAATAAGGAATCGTGATTCCTAAAATTCTAGAATCGTTGTCCCCATCAACTTGGAATCAGCATTTTCACCATTCCGGAATCGTGATTCTCCTCATATTGGAATCAATTTTCTCCCCTTAATAGAATTGCGAACCAATTCCCTTTGGTATATGAGAGAAGTATTTAGAAAATATATAAATTTACCCATTATTACAAGATCAAATTTTGGTTTGTATATACTCAGTCCAAGACTCCAAGTACTAATGTGAGCCTTTATGATATCATTGTGGACAATCCCATACAATGAACTCGGTCTACCAATAACCCTATTATGCCTACAAGGTTTGGAGCTAGTCTACGTCATACAAGGAGTGAGAACAAGTGCAATCTCCTTTTCTGGAATTATAAAATAGGTACATGACATAGTAATTCTTCTTTGTCAAATGTAGTTTTGAGTCTTTTGACTTTTGAAAATTGAGTTATTTAATTTTTAGTCAATTTCTCAGATATTTAATGATTAATTTAACCTAAAACACTACACAAGGCGCTTCACTCGTATCCTTATTATCTTCTTATTTTACTTAAAGAAAAGCATTTTTATCCTCTTATTCAACTTAAAGAAATGACGGTATCATATATTAAACATTATTACATTAGTAGATTAGTACCCACACCATTTGCCAAGCATTATTAAATTTGAAGTAACATATTTTTTTAGTATTATTTATTCCTGGTAAGAGTTCTTAAAAAGTAACATGGAATGAATGATGGAAATTAGTAAATAAGAAAAAAAAAAATTAACATGTTACTTATATTTTAAATTTTGATTTTATTGCCGTGTGCAAAAACTTCAAATTCTCTCACGCTCTCATACTTGTCGCGTGTACTCATGATTGAGCACACATCGAAGGGTTTCTGCATGCTCTCCCTATACTCACATTTTAAGTTTTGATTTTCTTGCCGTGTGCAACAACTTCAAATTCTCTCACGCTCTCATACATGTCGTGCTCACTCATGATTGAGCACACATCGAAGGGTTTCTGCTCTCCCTATGCCCACATTGCTTCATGACAACATGGATTCACAATTCCTTAATACTTTGAATCAATGTTTAGCATAAGTAGAATCACATTGTTGTGTAGCAAGGAATCATGATGTCTGCGATATAGAAACTTGAATCCAAACAACATGGATTCGCAATTCCAAAAAATTTGGATTCAACGTTTCTCACAACCAGAATCGCATTCTTGTGTAGTTAAGAATCATAAAGTCCTCGATATGGAGTCTTGATTCCGACAATCTAGGAATCGAGATTCCTAAACTAGGTGGAATCGCGTTTCGCAAAAAATGGAAACATGATTCCTTTCTTTTAGAATCGACTTTCGCTCGGGAAAACGTCGAATCGAGATTCCGAAACGGAATCGTTACCCTCATAGGCGATTCGGGTAACTATAAGCAAGACAATAGGGTTTTGGAAGACTTGAGATCTTCCATGTTAAGTCAAAGTGGATGTTAGGAGGGGAATGAGGTAGGACTTATGGTAGGTCTTTGGGTAAAGGTTTGATATGATTAAATCAATAATTGGGTTTTGGTTGAAGGGAGTGGGAATATCTTGCTGGAATATAGGGTTCACTTAGGGCATCTCTAGGATTGAATGAGATGGATTTTATGGTTTAATTAGGCAACGTTAGGTTAAAGCTTAAGTTTTAAGGTCATGGGGGATAGATAATAAGGTTAGGGTAAGCTCTTGAGCTAGTTTACTTATAGTTGGAGAGGTATTGCTAAGGTTTATGGAATGTTTTGAATGGCTAATGAATTTGGTTGCGGGAATCTTTGGATGGGATGTCATACACTTTGCCTCTCCGCCTTGGTGGATGAGCCCCTCCATAACTTGAATTGACCTAGGCAGGTGCCTAATTCGGCTGTGACAAAGCGTTCACCTGGTGCCTTGCTGCTCAATTACCCTTGCCTGAGGGCCGAAAAAAGCCCTCAAGCAAGTGCAAAAATAGTTATTTTCTCCTTCAAAGGAGAAAGGGTTTTGGGGGTATTCTACCAGCCCAAAACTGTTGTACATGTGTTTTTATAGAGAACAAGACATCAAAAACCATTAAATTTGTGAGATTTTTCCAAGATTGGAGAAAATTTTGGTACTTTTAATTTCTTGCAAAATCGAAAAGTATGAAGGCCATTAGTTTTTAAGACTCGCGGTGATGATAAAATAGGCCTTTCAACAACCAAAGACCATCGATTTGAGCCAAGTTTGGTTTTGGATTAGTTTGTTTCAATTTTTGGTTTTGGATTTGCTGACTGTTGTGAATATTGTGTTTTGATTCTTTAGTTTTTCAATTTTGGTTTTTTTTCCCTCTAAGTTTGGCTTTGGATTGTTGGCCCCAATTCAATATTAGGTTCTCATTTGAGTTCAGTGACATTTTTATTAATTTAATAAAATGTCGATAACTTAAGCATCCTAGGTCTGTTTTTTTTTCCCTACATTATTAGTCCTTAATTGTCCTAAGTTTAAAAGGGCAATGGAGTGAATTTTCTTTTTCAACTTTATTGCCTCTTTTTAAAATATTTGGTTATGGATTTTTAATATTTGATGTAGCATTAGTGACTTTTTTTATATTTGAATTATTGGATTTTTATTTATATTTGAGTTATTGGATTTTTATTTATATATGAGTTATTGGATTTTTATTTTGTGAAGTTTTGTAGTTTCTATTTTGTAAATTATTAAATATTAGATCGGTTTACTTTTTTCAATCCTTGAGTTTGATTTGTTGCATCCTAGAATAAATACTTGTTTTTTGTAAATTAGCACAAACAAGAGATCTCTAAAAGAATTTAGTCCTTTTTTTTAGTACATGTTCTATAAGTTCGTTTGCAGGAGTTTGGTATCCAATCCAAACCCCTAACAACATCTGCCTTTTTTTGAACACTGGTGCTGCCTAAAAGGTGAAAGAAAAATGGGAGACTCTCTAACTAAGTTTGAGTAATAGAATAGCTTGTTCTATGAAACGAATAGAGGATCGCTCCTTGAGGTGAAGGAATCAGTCTTTCACATATGGTCTCACACCATCAAAAGAAAAAGCTCAGTCTTTTTCTCATTTTAACTTTGGAACAAATTGGCCACAAGTTTACATGAGTATTTATATAGCATTCATAGTTCTATTTGCCCCATCCTTGGCCTCTGACAAGGCAAGGGGAAGGCCCAAAAGGACATAGATAGAAGTAGTGAGAAGAGAAATGGTGGTTTATGGTCTAACTGAGGGTATTGCCCTTGATAGAGTAGAATAGCGGAACATGATTTGTGTAGTCGATCCCAAATAGTTGGGATAAGGCTTGGATGATGATGAATTAAGATATAAACTACACTTAGAGCAGATATTAAGTGAATGAATGGATTTCTTACATTTTTCAATAATTATTCAGTAGACATTTACTTTACCAACAAATTGTTTTTCCTTACAGTGGGAACAAATTTAAGTTGTAGCTAGGCGTAATTTGTTAGCATTTCTTCCAATGCTGTTCTGTTATAGTTATTTTCTTTTCTTATGTATTTTGCTTTGTGCCTTAACTTTTTGTAGGCCTAGCGTCTGGAGATATTACATCATTATTTGTTGATATTATATTCCATACATTATTTATCTATGACGATCGGGCATCCCAAAAAGCAGTAGATGATGTGATAATCAAAGCATTAGGGGAAGTCCCCTTCATGAAGCACTTTGCTGCTGCATTGGTTCAGACAGCAGAAAAGCAGTTGAAGGCTCGAAGTTCTTTTGGGTGTTACAGACTTCTTAAGTGGTCATGCCTTCTTCTGAGATGGAGTCAATTTACTACCATTTCAAAAAATGCCATTTCAAGGATAGTTGCATTGCAAGCATCTTTGCTTCATGTCCTTCTTCAGGGGTCTTTCCGTGTGAGGAGGGCTAGCAAGCACATATGCTACCATCTATTTTCTGAGGTCTGTTTAGTGTAGTTATACTTTGCTTGTTTCTTTTACTATATTTTGTGGATGCCACAAAATTATTAATCTCCTTCAAATGGCAGTTAGCGGATGAGTATGAAATCTACGTACAAGAGTTAAACGATTTAAGGTTATCACACGGTGACTGTGCTGAATTGATCTGGTTATTGCTTGACTATTCCAGAACGGTTCCACCTCTCTTTGAAAAACACAGGGTGAGAAACATTCTAACCGTGACAAACAGGTTTATGACATGTCTGAGGCATGATTTGTTTTACTTAAACTTTAAAGCTGGAAGTTTATCGATAATATTTAGTCTTGGAATAATATCAGGATACTACCTGGAGTACCCACATGGATCATCCAGGTGGTTCAGTAGCATGAAATATCAAGAATCTAGCCCGATCAAATTTGAAATATGACTATTTCACCCTGGTTTGCTGTTTAAAATGCTAGACACACGTGGTCGAAGGTAAACTTAAGGGCAGTAAAATAGTCATTACAAAGTTGACTGTTCTAGGTACCATCTGGATGGATCACATTTCTGGACCAACTGATGTCAATGCAAGTTTTCTAAGCATTCCCTTGATATTTTCCATTTAGTTTCTGTTTGAGTCCAACTTGATGCTCTTGCCATGTGCCTCTTGCAGCCAGTTTTCCTTGATTTCTATGTGAAAGTGATTCTAAGTGCGAGAGAGAAACCACCAAAGGCTCTCAGTGAGGCATTTTGTCCCCTTTTCACTCTTATGAGGCACGAAGAGTTTAGAACCGTAATTCTTCCCACCTCAGTGAAAATGCTGAAGCGAAATCCGGAGCTTGTCCTGGAGTCAGTTGGGATCTTGTTGAGATCGGTTAATCTTGATTTGAGTAAATATGCTGTTGAGCTCCTTTCGGGGGTTCAACAGCAGTTACGGCATTCTGATGAAGGCAGGAGATGCGAGGCACTGGCCATTATAGGCTCTCTGAGCCAAAAGTCTAGTGATCCAGATGTGTTTCTCTCAATGTTCAATGTTATCAAAGCTGTCATTGGTGGTTGGCCTCTGTGATCCTTTTCATATCTGACCTCTAGTATTTAGCTTGCGTGAAAATGAATTTGCTACTAACTGTTTATTTGTGTCTGCACTCAGTGCAACTATATGCATACTTCACCCTTTACTTATAAAGAATGGTTAATTATCAAAAAAGAAAATTTAATAGGAAAGCATACAATAATGAATGGGCTAAGAAAACCATAGTCCATTCAACCATCACCATCTATTGAAGTGATGGATGGTCATGGATGGGACCTAACAGAATATGGTTTTTCCTTAGTCGCTCGAACTTGGGTATACTTTAACATGATTTCTGATAGCCTGTTTTGGAATTCATGGTCTTGGCTTGAGGATGGATAAAGCTTCAAATTTGCAGGTTCGGAGGGTAAATTGTCATTTCCATATCAAAGGCTTGGCATGTTCAATGCATTACAGCAATTATCTGGTGCTGAGCTGGGGAAAGCAGTGCATGGCTTGTCATCATCCATATGTGGCTATCTTTTGTTATGTTACCGTGATGATGGTGGGTTTCTTCATATGGTGTCCATTTTGTGCTTCGTCAATTCTCTCATTCCTTTCCAGTCGGTTCTGATTAATTCTTGTGGCATTCCTGTGTGTGCCACTTTGCCCCTCTGTGTATACAGGAAGCGAAGAGGTCAAGCTTTCAATTTTGTCAGCATTAGCATCTTGGGTGGAAAAATCTGCTGAATCTGTTCGGCCAGATACAATTACCTTTTTTACTGCAGGTCTCAAAGAAAAAGAAACTTTAAGAAGGGGCCACCTTCGATGTCTTAGAGTTATATGTAAAAATTCTGATGTGCTCACAGGGGTAAGCTGATATGTTGAGTTGCCATTAAGCTTGTTGCTTGGAATCTGTCAGTTTGCTTTTTCACTTTACTGTATGCTATCATTTTCTATACTCAGTTGCTCCCCCTGCTGGATCCTCTTATCCAAATGGTGAAAAATGGTTTTACCAAAGTAACACAGCGTCTGGAAGCCATATATGCTCTCGTCTTGGTTGCAAAAATCGTGACTGCTGATACCAGGGCTGGTATTTACATTCCTCTATTTTTTGAATGGTTGAATTATTTTATTTTTAGCTCAAATTTCACCAATTGAAACAGCCATATCAAGCTGGTAAAATTTCTTGTATCACTGGTTCAGTGTTCATATTCAACACTAATTAGGCGTTATCTTGTCTTTGCAGAAGAGACTGTTATGAAAGAGAAGATGTGGCACTTGATATCTCAAAGTGATTCCTCAGCGATTTCTACTTCACTGGTAATTGTTAAATCAATTTTTTTTGGATAAAATATCATTAAAATTGTTAAACCACACCTAAAAATCACTGGGGTGGTCAAATGACCCAGTTTAAATAAACCAGTGTATCGATGGTAGTAAACTTTTAATGCATCACATAACTGAAGTACCTCATCTATTTTTTAAAAAATACACAAAGTGGCACAATTTTGGATTTGAATGTTGAACAATTGGGGATATTTTTGTAATTTTTTCAACTTAACTGGCCGAAGTCAAATAACATTAATATCTCTGCTTGTTATGGGTCCCAATATTCGTACGTGAGTCTAATGATGAAACTACCCTCACTTGTTTTAGATTCCAAACCCCGAACATTTATTTTCTATTGAGTCTCTTGTTCTAGCTTTGGAATCCAGAACAAGCGGGGGCACTTTTGGTAATATGACTCCACTTGTGTTATGAGCCAAATTATCAAAAATACCTCGGCTTTTATAGGGTTCTAAACCCCAAATAGGGGCATTTTTTGACAATTTATAATGAAATACTTGAGGGGGTACTTGAGTGAATTGATCCTAATAAAGTAATCACTTGGATAAATTGTTTGATTTATTAACCTTAGTGATTTTTTGAGGTGATTTGATCATTTTAATAATACTTTTCCAATTTTGTATGAGGTTTTGGGATAACTAAGATACTTTGAATTTTCTTCCCAATTTTGGCATGAGATGAAATTGCCGAAATATTTGCTCTCACGGCTTTAACCTTTTCCTTAAGTGCTTACCAAGCTACTACTCCATGTATTTTACAGGATTTTGGCTAGTTCTGCTGTTCTTCTATACATAATATGTTATAAGCCTATTTCATCATCGAAAGTTCACTTTTGATTCTTGTCAAGTCTTTTATGCTATATTTATCATTCATACTTCTTATCTTCTTGTTTTATTGACAGGCTTCTAAATTATCCTTGGAGGATTGTCTGGCATGTGTTGATCTTGTTGAGGTTCTACTGGTGGACCATCTGTCCAGGTCTTTACTTGTTTTTGATGCTGCTTTTGTTCTTATGGTTTGTTAAAGCTTAAAAAAAAAATTGCTTTGATACACTGACAAACATTTGGGCAGGAAATTAATCACGGGAAAATAATGCAGTCTATCATAAAAAAAAAAGGAAAAACTTGGGGAAGGTATATGATATTTTGGTGGACTAAGGGAAACCATGTGATTGGGTCATTACTGTTTATTTTAGTTATGTACTGTGATTTTGTGATGAAGAGGCTTGGACCTGCCATTGTGGGTCATGTCTTTCTAGTGGGTACCATCCTCTCCATCATTTCCTTTTACTTCAGTGGACAGCGATTATCAAATGAACAAAAGGAAAATCACAATAGCTTTTTCAAAAGACCATTGAGTTATGGTTTTCTTTTCCATGAGAACCATTGGATTATGTTATCTTCCCTTCGGCATATCATAGAGTGATGATTCTAACTCACATGGGAGTGACTTTTCTATTCCTCTGCAGAGTGAAAGAAGCCTTGCCAGTTAAATCGCTTTTACAGGTGCATAACATTCAAGCAGTTACTAGGATCCATTTTTATAAAAACTCGTTACTTACTGGTTTTTGTCATTATCATATATGCAGTTAATACTCTACCTGTTATGTCATCCAAGTTGGAATGTCCGCAAGGTGGCTTCAGATGCTGTTAAAAGAATACTTTCTGGCACTCCACAGCTGTCAGACAATCTGTTACTAGAGTTTAGGGATTGGCTTTCTGTGCTAGGAGTGAGAATGTACCTCTCTTATGCAAGGTATGCTTGAACCTTGAAAAGGACATCATCTTTCTAGACTGGGTTAAGGTTGGTGTCCAGTTTAGTTTTTCATCAATCATTCTAAATGAAAGTAATGATACAAAAAGAGAAAAAAAAAATCGTTTGGTGGAGGCAAATGCCAATTTGCAAATGATAAAGAAAAGGCAAACGTCAAACTCCTTATAGAAATCATGGAAGAGTTTTGGAATTTTCTCGATGTCCTCTGCCTCTGCCATTTTGAAACTCACTTGTCTGCAGCTGTGAAGATGGTGGAGTATCAGCTGGCAAAACTTTATATATCTGACGGCCTTAGTACCTCTGCAAGCGACGATTAAAGTTCTGACTCTTAAAAAACGACATTATGATTTTTTTTATTTTTTTATTTTCTATGTTTACTCATTTGTACATTATGATCCAATATTTCATTCCTTTTCTTTTTGAAGTTTGCATCATCCTCTAGTCCCCATTGGTTTATGAAAAAATACTAATTTTTTACAATATTTCCCCACATGTTTCGTTATGTTCTCCTTCACTTTCTCAAATAAGGTTTTCATAGATTTTTATGCATTGATATTAGTGAATCTTTCTGTTTGTTAGATTAGTGGGCTTTTTGCCAGCAAGAGTCATCCATTGACATGCATGAACTCAATGATATATCAGAATTGGCATCTATAAGACTATTATCTATTTCTTTGATGCCCCTATATGGCAGGTACGACCTTTTTACGTTATGTCTCTGTAGTGATGCAGAAACCATGGACACTCAAGTACCAAGCATTCCATCTCCAGAAGTTCTAGTGAAGGCTTTGCTAGTGATTTCATCAACATCTCTGGCTAGGGATACAAGCATTTCCACAAGGCTCATATTTTGTTCACATCATCCTTGCATCACTAGAGGTGCCCGTAGAAATGTGGTTTGGAAGGCAAGTTCACCTTATTAATTTGGTCAGTGTTGATTGTTTCAGAGTCAGCCCTGATGTATGTTATCTGGATGATTCTCTTTTATGCTGAAAGCGAAAGAGAACCTTTTCTTTCGCGTTGGTCTGCTTTTTATTACTATCTACCTTGTCCTTCGGATTGTTGAAAAAAGAGAAATCTATTATTTTGTGGAGTTGGACTTTCTAATGGTTATTGACAGCAGAAGTAATTCTAATTTTAAGCCAGTGAAAGTCGAACTAGTGGGACTGCTGACACGCTATGTTTATTTATGTAAAATTACTACTAAAAAAGGGAAGGAAAAAGTCTAACTACGTTCACAAGACTTAAAACTTGATTTTTATCGTAAATGTGTAGATATTTGTTCAATTAGAAATGGATGAAGGTTCTAGAAGTCCTAGGCTTTATGAAAACTAAATAAAGCCTCACCATAAATCCTCGTCCAGAAAGCACTTTTGGCAATGGAAATCTCTATGAGGCATATAAAATCAATTTCCAACGGCGACAATAAAATTTGAACTCAAAACATGGTGCAGATCTGGTGGATATATGAACACTTATGTTCAGGGTGCAATAGACGGTTTAGATAATTTGCTACAATATACACTCTTTTAGAGCATAAAATCCTAATTTTTTTCACAACCATAATGTTCAAGCCAAGATGATCGATGTAAAGGTTTTCCAATGCTTGAATTGTAATTTTCTATGAGTTATGAGGTGAGGCTTTACTTATTTTTATAGGGCTGTAGCCCTATCATACCATTTTCCATGATTTGAATGACAAAGCATTAAATTATGTAAAAATGAGAAAATGGTTATGAAATATGCTTACTGCAACTTGTTTTGCTTTTAGAAAAACATTTTTAGTGTAGATATGAGTGTATGCATGTACATGTGTATTGAGTGTACTTCTATGTCTAGGTATACATGCACAAAAAGAGACACTGTATTTTTACACCCCTTTGAGTGATAAATTTGTGCATCATGTTCCACATTTATTTTGACAGAAATCCTCGTACCAATGTGTCCCAAGGCATGAATAGGTGTATTTTCTACTTTTTATCATGTGCAATGATGAGAATACCATTTAAAATAAGGGATGGCTTTTGTTAGTAAATTAGTAAATAAATACACATGCCATGCATCTGAAGACTTGCCATGCTTTGGGGACATATAAATGTCAATCTTTGATTTGTATTACCATTTTGTCCCTGCACTTGATGAATGATAGAAAATGCTTTCTTAGATGTTGTGCAATGCATTATTTGTAGGTCATATCTTTTTTAAAAAAATGTGGAAACACAGCTTTTGAAGTTCATTAAGTGGATGATATAGTAATATAAAGATTCACCTAAAAAATCCATCAGAAAAAGGTTGTTTTAATGTTGAAAAACCCTCTAATTGATCATCTCGACATCAAGATGTATGAATATGATTTTTTTTTTTTTGAGATTTAGAAATAGGGCATCTTGCAACACATTATCTAGACCGCCATTTTTAAGATTTAGAAAATTTTGATTTTAACCTTTTTTGGAGTTTAAAATATTATAATTAGATATGAAAATAGATTTTTCAGATAATCCTAAGAATTTCTGCTCCAAAATTATATGTTATGTTAAAATTTGGAAGTGCGCCTTAATTGGATTGTTTAAGGTTGCAACCTTATAGAAACGACACCATATATATATATATATATATATATGGGGAAATGATATTAGGTCACCGTGCCATTATAATATAATGAAATGACACTTTTAGAAAACCATGTTTGTGCTATTTGTATGACCCAAAATTTTGCACACACATTCTCTTCATCTCAATAATCAAATCTCAAAAAAGCATAAAAATAATTCGCACCCTATATATGGTCAAAATGGGTCCTCTCCAACAATGAATCTAGACTGTTCATTTGGTGAATTTCGAGAACTAGGCCTTTATGAATTCAAAATCTTTTTTATTTTTATTTTTTAACATTGTTAATCTATTGATAATAAGTTATCTAAAAAATTTGGAAAGAAATAAGAGCTTTCTAAGGCCTAGATCTAAGCATCTCACCAAAATGGATGACCTATGTTAATTGGGCGAAATAAACACTTTTTAGGTTGTGTTTTCAATTTTTTCTTTTTTGTTATTGTTCATTAGAATGAAAAAGTGTATATTTTAAAATTTGGGTTAAACAAATGGCCCTAATATAGTTTTGAAGATTATTTCATTATATTACTATACAACCATTGAATGAAATCACTCCCCTATATATATATATATATATATAT